TTAATTTGTGATGGGGGGGGTGCAAGGGGGTGTTGGGTGCCGACAAGGCCATCCATGGCTCGAATTTTGTCTGATTCAGTAGACCATCCCTAATTAATTTTTTTTATAGATAACAGATTGCTGTTGAGCAGAAGAGCCAACACAAAGACGAGAAGGAAGGCAGGTATTTTAACTTGCTTAAGATAATAGCTCATTGGGCACGGAGCTTAATATTGACGACTGGATCCAGATCTGACTTCTGCTTGAATTCAGAAAAATGCTTGCATAGCCTCCAAAGACCTGTGGCCTGCTTCATATTCAGATCATGCCCCCAGCATGTCTAGAATTGGATCTCAGAATCTACTAGCCGTTTCACTGTTAATTACATCGGCTTCTACCTTTCCTATCACACTGGTTATTAACCACTTCCTGCCAGCCTTACACATAGGCGTCACGTGGGCCTTAACGCCGAGCTGCCACATGCGTCACTGTGTTGTTCTGCAGACGCACTTAATCAGCGTCTCCAGAACTGTGACCGATCTGTCACAGACCACGACCAACAATCGGGGAACCCGTAGGACAGGCTCCCGATTCCACCACGCAGCCAATCGCATAATTGGGAGGTACTCCTACTGGTCTACAGCGTCATTGTCCACCGGTGCCAGCAGCAAGGGGTTAAAAAAATGTAAGCTTTCTTCTCATTAACAAAAAACTATCTAGCTTACTTAATATAATACTGTTTTTTTAAAGGATTTCCCCCCTCAATTTGTTTTTTTAATACAACATGAACCCATAAATGCATAATTATAATGAGAGACTCTAAACCAGGGGTAGCCAAATGTAAGCCCTTAAGCTGATTTGGAACTACTGGTCACATAGGGGGTTTGCAAAACTGACAGCCACAGGCATGACTCCCAGAGGCAGATACATGATGGGGTTTCTAATCTCACCACAGCCGATTGGCCGAAGTTTGCCTACCCCTGTTCTAAATCCTAACTGAATGACACTTTGCTAAAGCTTCAACTCTGCAGTGTTGCCGACCTCCTCCAGCTTTTATCGGCCACTTCCTGCCTACATGTACTTATTCCAGAGTTGGCTTTACATCACTGTTCTGGACCAACTTCCTGATAAAGGCAATAGTGGACCATGCTTAACAAGTGGGTGTCACAATGACCACCAAGGGTGATAATGGATATACACAGTCACCCCAAAACAGGAAATGCTGGAATAAGGACCTTCCTGTCAAGATCGTGAGGGTGTTCTTTGATGAAAGCTGCACATTTGAAATTAATGTCTTAAAGCTTTTATGGCATTTCAGTTATCTACTTTAAAACAAATCTATGTTTTTATATTGAATTTCCCTAAGCGCTACACCCCTCCTAATATCCATATCCATCTAGAAGATTGTAAACTTACTTATTGAAGATGCCCATAGGGTGAACTTCAATCCAGTGACACACAATCTCACTCACTCCCTTGCCTCACGAGTGCCGTCGGAACTACAACTGAACCGCTGCACAATGTAACATTATCATTGCTTGCTGGAGGCAATGCATGATGGGATATGTAATCTTAGAGAAATTGTGAATTCATCACATCAAGCAACAGGGAAAGAGATGCAAAGCACACTGGGAATCCAGGAAGGTGATGAAAGTGATGAGCAGACAGAAGGCAGCACTCACTACATAGAAGGGATTTATTCAAGTAAGCTTTGAGCACATTAAAAAAAAAAAAAAAAACTATATTCCTATTACAATGCTGATATCAGGATAGTGGGTAAGATATTTAAATGTACCTTTCTTCCCAGAGAGAATTTATACAGAGCTCCTTTAAACACAGCTATCGGATTTCAAAGGGGGGAACTTATCAATACTGGGACAGAATCTGGAGCCGTTGACAACCAATCAGCTTCTATCTTCAGATTGTTCATTTAGGCCCCGCTCACACTGAGCGATTTATCGCGCGGTAATTCCCGTGATATCGCGGCTATTTACCGCGCGATATCGCTCTCCAATGCATGGCAATGGGGCTCTGTCCGTCGCTGGTCGTGCGTCGCTACAGCAGGACCCTTTTTAGAGCGGATTTTGCCGCGATTCTAGCTTGCTCAATGCAAGCATTTGCGCGATATCGCGCAAAATGCAAATCACGCGACAAACGCACGATTTGCGAATCACTCAGTGTGAATGGGGCCTTAAGCTTCGAAAATAAAGAGAAGCTGATTGGTTACTATGGACAACTACTCCAGTTTTGATCAACTCCCCTTTGGTTTTAGGATATTGGTCCTTGCATGGAAAACTTCCCTGCTTCTGATCTCCATGTTTAGTTCAAATCTATTGAAGGGAACATCGCCCATAAAGAAATCCTTCCCAAATACCACTATAGTATGCTGCTAACTTATCCAAGAAAAACATACAAGCCCAGCAAATCCTGCGTTGTCCTTTGCTTCTCCGCAGCACATAGTGATGCATGCGGCCATCTTTCTTCTCTTCGTCATCAGAATCCAGCTGTCTCCATGGTTCTTGCAGTCAGCCCCCATGATGACGTGGCACCAGATGAGTCTTCATTCATTCAGCCAGCATTGTGGGGAAGTCGAAGACTCATGGGATACGAGACGTCAATATCCTAGGAAGCGGCTCACACCTTTAAATACTTTTCTATATCACTTGCCCTTCCGTTTAGAGTGTAAGCTCTCGTGAGCCAGATCATTCTAACCCTCCAGTATTGAATTGTAACTGTACGGTCTTCCTTTATTTTGTAAAGCGCTGTGCAAACTGTTGCGATATAGATCCTACAAAATAATTCATGCTTTTAAGATTGTAAGCTCTCATGCCAAGGGCCCTCCTCACCATCTTGTCTTGTAACTAATGTCCTCATACTGTAAAGCTCTGCACAAATTGTTGGCACTATATAAATCTGAATGATGATGAAGGTATGGGGGGAAAAAAAGCAAAAATTAAACTTTTTTGTAAAAAAAAAAGGGGGTCTACTTTTTTGGATGGCGGAGGGAGAGGGTTAGAGTGATGCACATTTTATTTTCGCATGAAGCATTTAGCCCCAGGAACAGATTTGTGGTATGATGAGAGCGGACTCTGCAGTAGACATGGAACGCTCAGCTCTCATATAAAGCAGGAAGTTGGTTAAGAAGGATTGCCCTGTAGCTTTCTCCCTTCCCCCACTCCTGTGTACTGAGGAGGGTTCTCCCAAGAAGCAGACAGAGGAGGAGGAAAAGGGGGGGTGTGCAGGCAGGAACCACCTTCTCTGCTCTCCACCCCCTAAATCAAAGCCTGGAAGGTGCACATCAACACCAGAGTGCAGCACTGCGGCTACAACATGGCTAATTACCTTGTTGAGTCTCAGTACAATGAGAGCTATGCACCATCAGAAAAGACGTGATCGGCACAGGGCACACGCTCAATGACTAGCATGCAAATGTGTGCAGGCCGAGCCATCCCGGCTCATCACACTGCAGCACAGGAAGGTGATCTGCAGTGCTGGAGCCAGCACAGTGATGTCAGTGCTGAGCAGAGGTGACAGGGCGTGCACCTGTAATAACGGGGGGGGGGCATGTCTACACTACAGACAACGTATGCTGCATTGTGAGCATGGCTCGTAGTAATAGACTAGAAGAGCCAAATAAGGAATGTACTGCAAAAACATCGACGTCACCCGGCCCCTGCACGAGGCTGGATGTGACAACTGCAGCAGATCGCACCTTGCAATACTGGGGCCCCTGGATCAAACCCCAGCCAGGACACCATCTCCATGCATGTGAGACCTGATCCCCAAGTCACACTGGAGTGCTTTGTTGCAGTGCTCAGTATGAAGATCATTATCATTTCCAATGGTGCCCGTTTACATCTGAGCAATCGTGCACTTTAAGGCCCATAGGCATCAATGGGAGCACCTGAAAACGTGCAATTTTGCACCTAGCAACCGTCTCCTCCTCCTAGTAACCGGCTTTCTATTGGCTAAAACAAATGCTTACCCTGAAAACGCACAAAAGACAACTATACCATTATAAAATCAGGTGTGAATGGGTTTCTATAGGCTTCCCCTCACATTCCAATGACATGCTGGTTCTAGTGTGTGCATACGAGATAGTACAGCACTACAGATGTTGTCAGCGCTATATAAATAAACCAGAGGAGAGCTGCCAGTACAGGAGAACAGTGCTTCGTATGTTATACAAGGACAAATTCTCCGTGACGGTGACATGAGAAGCCCGGCGTCCTTCAGCCGGCTCCCAGCCACAGGTAGCGCAGAGAATACGGCCGAAGGAGGATGCGAGTTACGTGGATCATGCTGTGTGCGTGCAGCCCAGCCCCCTCCGTCTGTCTCCAGGTCCCGCTCAGACTCGCCCCTCCCCTTCCAAGGGAGTGTCGCCGATGCACGTGGGGGGAAAGGCGGGGACTGACACGTCACTAGACACGTGTAACTCGTTCCGTCCCGTCAGCCCCCACCCAAACTGTCGGAACCGGGCGGGTTCGGGCTCAGAGGGGCAACGGAAGGATGTCAGGGCGTCGCCGAGACTCGTACGGGACGAGCCCGTGATGCCAGGGCAGCCACGGGGCCGGGGGGAGATGAATGGGCCAGCCGCGAAGGGGTTAAGAGGAGAGTGTGCTCCGAGTCATATGACAAGCCCGTGTCACGGTATTATGCAAAGTGCTGCTGGAGCGATGCCACCGCCCTGCGAACCCGTCTACCTCTGCATCGGGGACAGGGCGATAAAGGAGAGGGATCCCTCCATCCACCGCAATGAGAGTAGAGCCTCATAGTGTGTACACATGACACGATCACACAGGATCCGGGGTGACACCAGACCACCTGCCCGGAGACAGTGCTTACCACTGCAATACACCAACCCCTCACTCATCACCTATTCTCATTACATATATAGAGACACCCGGTGTGAGCCGGCACTGCTCTGATCGCCTCAAACACAATCAGGACACCTCTGTGCTCCCTCCATCACTGGGTAACTCTAGAGCCGGCACACACACACTCAGCCACTGCCCCCTTACCGGGCGTCCTCTGTTGCTGCTGCTGGGCTTGCCATTCCAGGAAGAGGGCTGCTTGTAACAGTGTCTCCAGGCTCATGTCTCCTGCAATGCACAGATCAGTCACACACACACCGGGGGGGTCTGCCGAGCTCTTCACCCTCCTCCACTGGGCGAGCAGATCCCAAATCAGACATACAGGGCGACCGAGAAGGAAAAAAAACCAAGGCTGTCACCCCCGATCCCCCCCACGGATCTTCCAGACAAGAAAAGGGCTGCAACAAGATGGCGATGAGTAACAGAAACACAACAAGAAAAAAAGGGACTCAGAGCTGAGAGCTACTACACGGGCGGAGACAAAGCCCGGACACAGGAGGCCGGCCTACGGAGCGGAGTCAGGAGGGAGGGGGCGGAGCCCTGGCTCTAGGCTTCAAAACAGCCTGCCCTGGAATCGTCCTCATTACTCAGCCTGTCACCGCACGTGTCAGCGGTGTTATCAGTGGAGAGCAGGTGGCTCCGCCCACTGGCCGTACATGGGCACACATTGGACGATGTGAGGATGGCAGGAAGCCGTCCTGTGTATAAGTGGGGGGAACCAGATGACAGGCGTCCCCTGTCTATAGGATGGGAATTACTAACGTGTCTTCTATATGATTCCAAAGATCACAGTGCGTATGGCCTGATCTGTTATAGGTGCCCATAGACACTGCATGACCCTCTACTGGATCCAGTAATTATTTAAAGCAGACCTTTACTCACCAATTATATTCTTCCCTCCACAGCAATTTGGAGAAAAACATTTTTAAATTGGGATGCGCCGATATGGGTATTGGTTTCGGTGCCGATACTGAGCATTTGGGTGAGTACTCGCCCATAGGCAGGGTTGGATTTCTTATAAGGCCACTTAGGCAGGGAGTTGAGGGGGGGGGGCCAGGTTTTTTTTTTTTTTTTCTACATTTAGCCCTGTTTCAGGCAAGCAGTGCCAAATGTACAGCGGGTGAAGCCAGCACTTGTTTAGTACAAGTGATCCCGGCGATGCCCCCGCAATCATTTGTAATATGTCTGCTGCCCCCACCTCCTGCTGCCTCCCTGCTCCCGGTACATTCGTTCAGGTTGGAGAGCGGAGGACATCCGTTCTCCGCTCTGCTCCTTGTGAACACTGAGACGACTCACAGCCTTCCCATCTCAGCTGTCACAGGAGGGCCAACACAGTGCTGTGCTCAAACTCCTGTATTGGAGGTGACAGCTTCAATAAAGAGAACCTGTCATCTCCAAATGCTATCACACGGGCTTGTTAGCTCCTGTGTGATAGCGATAAAGTTAAGTGGAAAACAAGCTTCAGATGAGGCATTGGAGGAGGGCAGATCAGGTGATCGGCTAAAAGAACCCAGAAGAGGCGGCTGGCTTTCGATGACAGAAGAAAGGAAGATGGCGGCACAGGACATGGCATGCAATGGTGCATCGCAACAGACCAATGCTGTATCTGATGGGCATGTGAGTATGTGAACTGAGAATGCACAGCACTAAAAGTAACAGGAATTAAAAAAAAGGGAGGTGAAGTTCCTCTTTAATGTCCAGGTGCCCAACCTGTGGTCCTCTGATGTTTGCAGTGCAGCCATCGGGCCCCAGCAGTCAATGGCGTGAGCAGTGAGGGGCCTTTAATAGCATTGACCTCTTGCAGTCTCTTGAATAATGTTCCCAGTCTCCTACAGCATTACTCCAGACTTCAGCTCGGACTGTTGAACAGCCTCTGACCATCTCCTCTAGTAGGTCTGTGGTCTATGACAGTCTTCTGTAGCAGGACATTTAATGAAGATTATATGAAGACCTTTGGTAATACCACAGGCCATATTTGAGGGCCCCTATACCTTGTAGTTTCACAACCCGAAATCTAATGTGTATGTATTGCCAAAAGTTACTAGTTGGAAAATCTTGCCTATTCATTACTGTTTTTCCCTCGTTAAGTCAGGGCTCTCTGTAGTTGACTTCCTCTTGGCTCTCCATCAGGTAGACTCGGTGGATGGAAAACCTTATCTAGTCAATACTGTTTTTCCTTTGACAAGTTGGCGGTAGAGGTGTGTGTGGTGCTAGCAGTGTCTGCAGTTTGCGTCCTCTTGCCTTTCCATCAGATGAACTTAGTCACATGATGCAGAAGTCCGTGTCCTAGGAAGCCCAGGCCACATTGTATTAAGGGTGTGTTGCTTTATGCCCCCATTCATTTTGAATGGCCCGAGAGCCCATCGTAACACACAAAAACAACTTTTTTTTTTTTTTTTACCAGCGCAGCACAATACACATTCCCGGGAATTCAAAAAGTGTGTCGTAGTGTCATTTGTGCACAACAAATGTTGGGGCCGGCAACAGATTTGCGTGCCTGTCAAAAACAGGTACATGAATTTGTCACGTGAAGGCATGGTGGGGTGGCACTTACACTGGAGAGTCCATACAACTGTCACACTCCGTCCTTGGTCCATGTTCAGTCCCTGAGCCACACAGTGTGTTTGGTTGCTAGGACACTGGAAGCTGCTGAGCATTACTGGTTGCTAGGACACTGTTGGCTGTGCAGCAGACAGCTCCCTAGCAACCAATGACATGTTCTCTGCTCCATTCAGCTGCCAAGATGGGAGATTCCCTGTCAATCAGCAGAATGTACACAAAGGGGTGGGGCTTGCACTGCGTCATTGCCCAAATGTCATTTCCATATTTGGTCAATGACATGTGCCAACATCTATGGTCTCCTCGTTTACATACAGTAGTCGGCTGGGGAGTCTGGGCAGCTGAATGGAGCAGTGGATGCGATAGTTGCTAAGACCCGGCATCCTGGCTGCCCAGCTCCCTTCATGCCTCTGTCTCTGGGAGTCATGCTTATGGCTATCTTGCAATGCCTTATGGGACTTGTAGTTTTACTACAACTGTAGTGCTGAGGTTGCCTCTTGTAAGTACATCCTCTGCCACCCAGTCCCCAGAGCCCAAGATCTATGTCAGAGCAGAGTAATCATTTTCCTCCTCCACTTCACATGACTGTTTTTAGGCCTGGTGATTGGCTACTCATGCTCGCGCACTGCATCGTGTGAGAAGGTCACATGATCCTTCATACCCAGAAGTACTGTAGGTTGGAACAGTGAGGGAGCATGGAAAATAGAACTATACTTGGCGCCCCTCCAGCCATGCGACATCTGTCAACTCAACTGGTGCCAACACCTTTGGCAGGCTCCTGCCGGGTTGAAGATCTTCAGGCATCTTGATTACCCATGGTGGACTGACACAACTCCTATGCGTGAGCAGATCAGCGTACAATGTCAATAAGAAGGCCAAAGAGAGTCTTTCCTGCAATGAAAGCCTGCCTGGTCACCCTTTTATCATTTTTACTTAAAGTCTGAGCCCCATTCACACCTCAGCGTTTAGTCACATGTTTACTGAAGCACATCATCGCTAAACATGAAGAATGCTGTTGTTTTCAATAGCGCCTGTTCACACCTGAGTGTTGTGTCGCCTGAAAAAAGTATAGGAGCTTCTGTTTCAGCAGAATCACGTTACTTGGCCCCATAGACTTCAATGGGAATCCTTGAATAGTGCGCATGATGAGCGATTTTGCACCTAGCCACCGTCTTCCTTTTAGTAACTAGCTTTCCTTTGGCTAAAACAAAACCGCTCAAGCCTGAAAAACGCTTCAAATATGGCAAAAAAAATTCCACTATAAATAGCGGCGGAGTGTGGCCAGAGGCAATGATCCTTGTCATATAGCGCAGGCAGAATGTCTTACGTTGTTCCCTGCGGCATATTATAAAAGACGTCTAAGATGAGTTACGGATGGTCACTCACTGCCACCAATCTGATTTCATCGAGGCCCTCCATTCAATCTCAGCAGATGGATCAGAGCAGAAACATATATCACATATGTGACGTCTATTCCAATGATACGTATGTGGCGTCCATTCCGATGCGTACGCGACGTCCATTCCGATGCGTACGGGACGTCCATTCCGATGCGTACGGGACGTCCATTCCGATGCGTACGGGACGTCCATTCCTATACGTATGGGACGTCTATTTCGATAGACGTCCATTCCGATACACGTGATGTCCATTCGAATTCCATTTTTCTTCCATCCTGAGAGGGCGGAAAAACAGACCCATGTAATCTCTATGGGCCAGCTGGATGTAAACGGGTGTGGGCCGTCCCTATATTGAGGCAGTTGCCTCAAACGGCATCTCTTTGGGTCACATGGCACACCTGCCGCCCCCTTTGCGTCCAGAGTGTCCCAGGTTGCTAAGAACTCTTAGTAACGCTCAGGCCACAGCATCCCGCTCTGCTTCTATCAACCAGTGATGTCAGCGAGCTGGGCGGGATCCCAGACAGACTATAGGGACGCCACCAATGTCTGCCTATTTCATTGATGCCCCTTCTGGAAATTCAGACCTGGATGCAAACGTATTTGTTTAGAAGCATCTGAACAGATTCATATGTACACAGATGCACATCCATCCTCCTATATGGATCCATTTTTGATCCGTCTAATCGCGGGTCAGAAACGCAGTGATGAGACGCCCATGTGAAATGGAAAGAAGTGGAATGATGAATGGTCTCTGCACTTTGCCTGTTGCTCACTGCCTTAGTAAATAGGAGTAAAGGGTTAACCACATGCAGTGCTCACAGTCAGAGATTTGGCAGCCATAGGATTACCAGACTCATATTTTTGCACTGCACGTCCCACTGCCACAGCAGCCGGATTAACCATTTCCTGCCACCAGTGCGATGCTGTTACTGAATGATCTCCATACAAGTGGGGGGGATTGAGCAGCATAGTAAATCCAGCACCCCATTTACTGATCTCCTTCTCCGCGTTCCACTGACAGCGCAGAAGCATTAGTAATTCCAGAACACGATTCAATCTCCATAAGCCCCGCCCCCCTGCAGTGCGTTTGCATCTCATTAAAATATGTCATTCGCAGTTCAGCCAATCAGCAGCCGGGACAACAAGGCATGGAGCTGCTCCACATGGACACCCTGCTCTGTCTGACGCCGACAGCCAGCCATTTAAAGAGACAGCGCACCTTTCTGGCAGTCAGAGCTCACACTGTGGCATAGCTGAGATTGGGGGAAAGCCAGCGATTTTTTTCCTTTTAGAGCTTCCTAATCATTCGGTTTTATTTCATGATTGTTCCGCTGATCCAGAGACAACCTGACATTGCAGTCATAGAGATACATGAGCATTATGGGATAAGTCATCTCAGGTCACAGCAGCCTTCTATCTATTACTGTGACCACAAGGTAATGTAGGGAACATTGCAAGGCTCACGTGGTCCCATATGATGGGCATTGGTACCATGCCATGGGGTTGTCCCTCTCATCGGTTTATATGAATGGATTTAGAGAAATGCATGTGCACAGTAAATACTC